CATCATTCTCGGCTGGACCATCTGCGCGACGTGCTGCGCGGTCATGGCGCTGACGCCGTTTGCCAAGCCGTACTACGGCGCGGCCTTCATTGCGCGGCGTCCACTGGCCAACATTTCGGAAAGCGACCAAGCCAAGTACATGAACCTCGACGCGCCGTCCAGCAGCGGGCTCTTCATCGTGCTCTCCATGGTTGCGAGCTTTGGCTACGTCATGGCCGTCACCGCCTGCGACGCCATGGCGGTCCAGTACGCTCAGCGCGAAGCCCTCGCGCAGCGCGGCCGCATGCAGACGACCATGTACTTTGTACGCGACTTTTCGGGTATGGTGCCCCAGATTCTGGTCGGGTTTTGCATGAACAACTACACGTACGGCGGCAGCTTTGACTGGGCGATTTCACCCAACACCGTCTACGCCCTCCTGGTCTTGCCGTGCGCCGTGTGCATTGCGACCGCCACCTTTTGGATGGTCGAAGACAAGGTGTTGGTGTTGCACTTTCGCCTCTACCTCAAGAACCTCTGGGAGCTCCTGCAGCTGCGGGTTATGTGGCAGTTCTGCGCCTTCCAGCTCCTCAACCAGGCGTGCATCGCCTTTGACACGACGGTCTCGAGCCCGCTCGCGTCGACGCTGCTGCATGTGCAACCTGTCGCCGACCAAGCGTTCACCGTCATTGGCATTCTTCTCTACACGGCGACGATGTTTTCTATCGGAAAGTTCGCGCTCAACTGGGACTGGCACCGCACGGTCATTCTGCACACGGTGCTGCTCGTGGCCGTGGACGCAAGCTGCAAACTCCCGACCGTCTGGGGCTTTGTCCAAAGCGAGTACGTCTACCTCGCCGGCCGCACGTGCCTGCAGCTTCCGACGGCCTTTCTCTTCTTGTTTACGACCTACTGCATCGTCGAAGTCGCCGATGTCGGCAACGAAGGCGCCGTCTACGCGCTCGTGACAACGTGCGCCAACGTCGCCGTGCCCGTCGCCACCTTTCTCTTCAAGACCGTCGACGCGTTTTTTGAGGTCGAACTCGACGACATTCAGCGCAACGACAGCGCGGTGCGCTGGCAAATGACATATTGCTACCTCATTGCGTACGCTGTCAAGCTCGCGTCACTCTTTTGGCTCGTCCTCTTGCCGCGCCAGAAGGCCCACGTCCAGATCCTCAAGCGCTCGGGGGGCGCGAGCCGCGCCATGGGCCTCGTCCTTGTGCTTGTCGTCGCTCTTTGTTTGCTGGCCGTCATTGTCACCAACCTCCTCGCCGTCTTCCCGACCACGTCGTGCCTCCGCATCGCCGGTGGCCCGGGCTGTCACGCGTCGTCACCTTAATTTAATCCGACTCGACCCGCTTGTCGACGATAGACGCAAGTGCATGGGGGAGACGAATGGGTATGTGTTGGGAGGCCGCCGCCGCCCAAGAAGGGATGGGGGTGGGCTAAAGAGGGTTGAGTCGCTATGGACGGTTGCACCTTGCTATAATAAGTGGGCTGGTAGAGCTGCCGCCATCTTGGGTGAGCTGGCGGTTGGGCAAGCTGGTTTAAGATGGCGCCCTTGCTTGGCCTTGGGACAAAAACACGGCTTCACGCGTTCCGCCAGAAAGTATCCCTTCACGCCAAGTGCCATCTCGTCTTGTGTATTATTGGTGTGGCGAAGACGGTGCGACCAGAGTTGGTTGCGCCAAGATCCGACTGTTCACCGAGCCCGATGCGGCGGTGTACGCACCGGGGTATTGTTGCGCATGAGCGATGCAAAGCAGCGCATGAGCGATGCAAAGCAGCGCATGAGCGATGCAAAGCAGCGCATTGGACCTGCACGACCACTGTGCTTGACATCGTTTTGACACCCGACTCTTCGGCAAGGGTGGACCGCAGTGTCTCACTTATGTGCGCGCCCTTTCCTTCCACGAGGTGAGGTACGACTCGTATTAGTCTTGTGGCCGTCGGGACTCATCGAAGGTGGGGGTGTTCCATGGCAGTTAGTAACGACGCATTGCTTCTTTTTCCGCAATCTTGCAGTCGCCACCCACGCATGTCGAGAGAATGACAGCAAACGAGCGCCAATGCACCGTCACGAGAACCATATATCACTGCAAGGGAGCTATGGAAGAGTCCTACCGGACGCACCTGGCCGAAAGCAGCTGCGCACTTGCTGGATACGGCAAAACGTCTAACGTTACTGGGCGTTTTGCACTCTTTTTCGAGCGAAACTAGACCTCGACCGTCGAAGCTATCGAGTTTTTTTCTCAGCGACGACACACCACCACCGCCATGGCCTTCAAGACCGCATGGACGCTACCAACGCCAACGTCATCTCGGCACGAATGGATCTTCCTCGAGTCGTCTCCCGGAAGTCGCAGTGAGAGCCGCGTGTCGTCGCACGCAAGCGACTTTGGAAGTGGGCTTCGCGCAGGCCCCCCGCCCGAGCTCCATAGCCCGTCGACCCGGGGGCTGCTGTTGCAGTACGCTTGCATTGGCCTTGTCACGGGTGCACTGCCACTGCTCCCGACCGCCATCTTTCAAGACGACTACGACGCGCATCTTGCCTCCGTGTACTTGGCGCTGTGCACGCTACCGTGGCTCGCGACGCCTCTTCTGGGGCTTCTCGCCGACTGTCTACCCCTCGGCTGCCGTCGACGGCGCGTGTGCATCGTGCTGGGGTGGGCCCTCTGTGCTGTGTCCTGCCTTGCCATGGCCATCACGCCGCTTCGCACTCGGAATGCCACGTCACTCCATGTGTTTTGCTTGCTCATGACGGGGTGTGCTAGCCTCGGGTGCGCGGCCG